GACACAAATGTCTTTAACACCATTTTTAAGGGCGTTATCACATTTTATTTAACACATATCTGTTGTATCTATTGTCAGAAAATTGATTCGTTTCCAATTTTTCAATATTACAAACAGTTCATTCACCATCAATTTCATGGTTCAATCTTTTTTCTTTTCTTTTCTTTTTTTTAAAGATGACCGGTAAGGGAATCTCAACCCTTGGCTTGGTGTTGTCAGCACCACGCTCAGCCAGTGAGCGAACCGGCCATCCCTATATAGGATCCGAACCTGTGGCCTTGGTGTTATCAGCACCGCACTCTCCCGAGTGAGCCACGGGCCAGCCCATGGTTCCATCTTTGAATGCATCCTTCTTTCCTAAAGATAAATCCCCGGGGATGGAAGTCTAGATGCAAGTGTGTGCACATTTAAGGCTTTTGAAGGGAACTGCTGAACAGTCTTCCAGAAAGAGAGCTTTATTCCTCTCTCCAATAGAGTATAAGATTTGTTTTCTCTCAATCTTGCTAATATTGTTTTATAGGTAAACACGTGGTATTTTATCTATATTTTTTAATTAGTGAAGTTAAAGATCATTCACATCAGCCATTGTATATATTTCTTCTCGTCTGAGTTACCTTCACCTATTTTCAGCACGTTTTTCTGTTGGGGTATTCTGTCTATTTTTCTTTAACGTGGAAGTGATCTTGATATGTGAAAATATTCACACTATCATATTTGCCATCTTTGTGCTTCTGTTTGTGGTTTGCTTGTTGAACTTATGGCGTTTACTATATCAAAGTGTTATTGTTTAACAATCAAGTCTTTTTTTTTCATGGTTTCTGCTTTTGATCACAAACTCTTACAGGCACCACAAAGAACACTCACCGCTATGGTTACCATGATGCAGATGTTTTTTGTATCCTTCCAGAAAACCATTTGAGGAGTGACTTTGGCAAAATGTATCAGTCTCCCAAAGAACACAGTCAGGCAGAGTACTTCTATGATCGAGGTAGCCTGCGAGGAGAAAGCGGACTGAGCACCGTGCCCTGCCACTGGGAGACTTGGCTTCAGTTCCCCTGCACCCCCCCAGCTGCCACCCTGCCTTTCCTGCCTGGCACCCTCACAGTATTAGCCATGCCCCTTAATTTCACTGAAAGTTGCAGCAAAATTCTTTGCTGGTTAGAATGGTTTTTTCCTCTTAAAAGGAAACCTGCCCCTGAGTTGCAACTTCCATGACCCTCCTGGTGGGCTTCCTGGGAGGGGCTGCGTCAGCACCCTGGGGACCCAGAACACATTTCCCCAGAAAGCGGGGAGGTCAGGGATGGTAGAGGGAGGCGTCTTCTATACTCTCAAATTCCCCCAGTTCATATTCAGAATAGAAAACTAGAAGTCCTGTTCCTCAATAGCAGGGTAACTTCCTAAAGATGTGTTTGGAAATGGTGGGTCGTTCTTTGGTCTGTTGCTTGCATTTGGCAGGTTAGAGGAGAGCACAGGGGCCACTGAGATCCAGTGCAAAGTCCTGCCTAGCCTTCCTCCATAGGTGACAGGGCACCGACTCCAAACTCTCTGCAGCCGCTAGACTTGCAGCCATGACTGCAGCCCCAATTTGCCCGAGACTGCCATGCTGCAGTAATGCTTCCCTGACAAGGGCACTTGCCCCCATCGATAGGGAGAGGAGGGTGGCAAAGTAGGAAGAGACCGGGAAAGGGGCAGCTTGGCTTAAGCAGCAAGAGGGAAAGGTCTGGAGCAAGGGCTGGAGGGAAGGGACTGTCTAAGGAACAGGGAGGAAGAGGCTGGCTCTGGGCCTGAAAGCAGCAGGTGACACAATCATCTCCCTCACCCCAGTTCTCAGGGGTCCTGGGCACAGCCCGGGCTGCACCCCCGTGCAAACCTTCTAGCTCTCAAGGGTCTGTTCACCCTTGAAGGGCTGCAGAGACTCGCTGTCAAGCCAGGTTTGCAAAAGGAGCCTGGGGCAATTTCAGGACATCCCTGCCCAAAATAAGACTTGCTTGGTAATGCTGGGTAGGGGCCAAAGCTCCAGCACATTTGACTATAGAGACTTGCATTACAAACACCAGCTGAAGGAACACTCAAACTCAGGCAGCCAACCAAAGCTGCATGTGACCAAGTGACCAATAACAGATGGGGGGAAGAAGGGGGATGGCGGGGGGGATGCTCAAGAAAAGTGGCTGAGAAGACGACTCCATGGAATTCCCACCTTGGGCGGGATGGGCAGCACTAGGGAGAGACAGACAACACTTTGTACAGCTCTGCTTCTTCCGACTTTGCTTTGACAGTCATTGAGCTAAAAGTCTTCTATCCAGAGAATTCATTAATTGCAGGATCCTTATGATGTGGAAGTGTGGTAGACTGACTTTGGCAGCCCCCAATGAACCATGTTTCTGGTTTTCACCCCCTTGCATAGTGTCCTCCCACGTTGATTTGGGGCTTGGGCATGTGATTGGCTTTGTCCAACACAACAGCAAGTGTGATGCCCGCAGAGGTCCTCCAGTGCCTGCACACTTGGATATTCCTCCTTGGACCTGGCCACCCACTGGAAGGAGTCTAAGCCACATGGAGCAGTCACGTGGAAAAAAGCAGGGCACTCTGGTCCACAGCTAACAGCCAGCAGCACTGCCAGCCACATGAGAGAGCCATCATGGGTGTCCCAGCCTCCAGAGACCTACAGAGCCTCCAGAAAACTACCACCCTAGCCAACAGCACCTGAGCAGAAAACCCACCCCGTTGAGCCTAGTCACCCGCAGAATCATGGGCGATAATAGAAGGCTGTTGTTCTTTAAAGCTACAGATCCAGTGAACTTTTTCTGTTAAAGGGCCAGATAGTAAATATTTTAGGCCTTGCCAGTCACATAGTCTCTATCACAGCTATTCAACTCTGTCATAACTCAAAAGCAGGCAGAGACAAAACATAAATGAAGAAGTGTGGTTGTGTTCCAACAAAACATTTTTTCCAGACACCAAAACTTGAATGTCATATAATTTTCATGTGTCACAAAATATTAACCTTCTTTTATTTTTCCCCCCAGCTATTTAAACATGTAAAAGCATCTGTCTTGGTCCATTCAGGCTGCTGTAATGGAATACTGTAGACTGGGGGGACTACAAACAACAGAAATTTATTTCTCACAACCTGAAGGCCAGGAAGCCCCTGATTGAGGCACCAGCAAATGTGGTGTCTGGTGAGGGCCTGCCTCCTGGCTCACAGACCATCTTTTCACTGTGTCCTCACTGAAGGAGAGGAAGAAGCAGCTCCCCAGGGCCTCTTTTATAAGGGCAGTAATCACCTCCCAAAGTCCCCACCTCCAAATACCATCACATTGAGGATTAGGTTTCAACATTTTGATTTTAGGGGGACACAAACATTCAGCCTATAGCACCGTTCTCAGCTTACAGGCTATACAAAAATAGGTAGTAGCCAAGTTTGGCCCATGAGCCATGGTTTCCTGACCCCTATTTTAAGCACTTGAGTTTTGGGGTGGTTTGTTACACAGCAATAGCTAACTGGAACATGGAAGAACATAGCAAGGGTTCACGTGGTGGCTAAACTTTGGAATCAGACAGACCTGGGCTTGAAGCCTAGCTCTGCCCCTGTTGCCAAGTGACCTTGGATGAGTTCCACAACCTTTCTAAGGCTCCGCTGCTTCTTCTGTTCAAACGGGGATGGTACAGCAGTGCACTTCACAAGGTTACTGTGAGGCATGAGGAGAATGCAAGAAACACGTAGAGCACCCAGCAGAAGGTAAGCGCTGAGCAAATGACAGTGTATTAGTCTGTCTCTTTGGCTTATAACAAAATACCTGGAACTTGGTAATTTAGAAAGAAAACAAAATTTATTGCTTACAGTTTCTGAGGCTGGGAAGTCCAAAGNCCTCTTCTTTTAAAGCCCTCAGAACCACGCCCCTGACCACCATTTTTAATCCATTCACCACCACACGGTCCTGCAATCCAGTCACCTCTTCAAGGCCCCACCTTTCAATTATCATAATAGGATTTCCCACCCTCCTAACGGTCACAGTGGGGGCCAAGTTTCTAATACATAAAACGTGGGGACACCATTCAAGCTTCCATGAGTTTTGGGGGGACACAATTCAATCCACTACAGACAGCCATTAAGACAGATGTGAAAGCAGAGAAGAGTTGGGAGTCAACATGAGCAGGTCATCCATTTATTATTTAGACATCTGGATTAGCTGGTTAATTTGATATATTACTCAAAATCACCTGTGACCAGCTGCTAGGCACCAACAAAGATTCTAATGATTTATGACTACGAAAACAGTTGAAAGTATGGGGGTTATAGCAAGTCACATGCACGCTACATGACAACATCTTCTATGTCATTAAATAAATACACTTTCAAACATCATTATACCATCTCTCTTTCCCTTCTGTGCACAGAAGACCAAAAACTTCCATTGTATGCCTTATGATTGAAGCATCGGTTCAGGGAGGAGACAGACAGAATTCTTCCAGCCTCCAGCAAGAAAAATAAAATCAAACTCATATTTGTTGACATTTGAGGGAAAAAAAAGAAGAGGTGTGGGGCCCAACTCATCTGTGACAAAAACCGGTCAGCCATCTCATTTTTTTTTTTTTTTTT